AGCGTTTAGAGTTTAGAAACATTGTTTAGAATATTCCAAGAGTGTGGAAAGGGTTTAAAACACCTTAATATATATAATAAAAATAAACTACTACTTACTACTTGTAATACTATTCCTACTTTGCGTTTTTTCACTCATCTCGGGACTTCAGTGTACGGATCCCCCGCGATAAACGAGGGACTATTGTATAGTTGCTTTGCTCATTCTTGTGATAAAAACATGACTTCTTTGATACACCCACCTCCAGTATGGCAGTGTACTGTGAAAAAGGCTTCAAACTGCTAACCACAGCCTCTGTAGATAAACCAGTGTAGTGAATGACTGGCTCCGCTTCAGGAGACGACTCCATGGAGGATAACGCAAACCTCAGGGAGACATAAAAAGAGTCGCTTAGTTCTCTTCTTTTAAATCATCACCCCACTTTGACGTATTATTATGTGGTGTTCTTCACTTAAAAGCTGTCGCTGGGATTTCACAGGAGCTTCAGGAAAATATAAAAAACATGTCAACTGTAAAGTCATGAAATAACTTAAAGGCATTAATGGAAATTATGGAAGCTGACTGCAGTTACATATCATTCACTAGTTTTTTTCTTTCTTTTAGTTTTTTATTATGTACAGTCAATTAAAGGTGCAATTATTACAGTAAAATAGCGCTGCAGTTTTTTGTATTGTTTTTAGAACTTACTGGTAGTTTTCATCTTTAACGCTGAGCTTCATTCTGTTTCTAAATGTGTTACACTTAATTTTTTCTAACAGACCATTTAATACTATATACCCTGATAAACCTTTTTTTTTTTGTTAGAATTTTATTTCTAAAAATCACACTTTTGAGGGAAAATGAAATGCTTTTTATATTTTTGTTGCATCCTCAAACTTCTTTCCAACTCTTTTCTTTGCTTGCTCTACAGATCTGCTACATTTTAGTTATGTGAAAAGTTCAACTTCTCCTCCTCAAATTTAATTAATCAAACAATAATCAGATTTCATCTGGTTTCAAAATATAAAATTATGTGTAAAAAAAAAAAAAGTTTTGAAACAGTTTGTTCCAACATTTGCTCAACCTGCTGACTTTAGTAAAACAAAAATCAGAAGGCAAAAAAATATGATTATAACAGCTACATATACATAGCTCTTTTTTTCTTACAATTTATTTCATATTAGTACGAGTGTTTCCTTATTAACTCCGATGATATGTTTTGTTTCCTGGTGACAAGTACTTTTTCTGCTTGTTTTTTTAAGGTTCTTATCATTGTGGCTACAATCAAACACATGTGGTATTGATAATCACTCAAATGGCCATTAGGGAGCTTCATCAGTAATTTGTATATGCTGTATAGTTACCACACCTTATGATAAACTTTTTGAATCACATACTACCTCCTTTGTACTACAGACAATTGTTTAGTACTCCCTCTCTGGCATTTCTAAAATGCATCTTGAGGAAAACATCTCCCTGTATGAAAAATTGTGAATATGTGAATATTAGCTGTGAAAATAGAAGGAACAAAACCTTTTTAAACAATTTTTAACATCTGACATTCAAAAATCCTAACAATTAAAAAAACAATTCCCAAAAACTATGTTAAGTTAATCTGTTTTCAGACATGTCAGTTCAAGAGAAACACTTCCTCCTTCATTCAGTAGGGGCAGCTATGGCTGAATGGTTAGAGCAATCATTCTCCAATGGGAGAATTGGGGGTTCGATTCCACCAGCAGTCACACGATGAAGTGTCCCTTGGCAAGAACCCCTCATTGCCTCTGATGGTGTCCCATTGGTGTATGAATGTGATAAAGCACTGATTATTCTTTGTACAGGTATAGTAGAGCAGAGCTATTCAACTAAATTGCACAGGGGGCCACAGTTACTGAAAACCAAGAGCTCAGGGGCAGGACATTCATTAGTTATTATCATTAAGTAAGTTTGTTTTACGGTTTAAAATCTAGTTTTATTTAAAAATGAACCCATTGGTGGGCCGAACTGAGCTCACCTGTGGGCCTGATTTGGCCCCTGGGACGCCAATTGAATAGCCCTGTAGTAGAGTGCTGTCTGAATGGGTAAACAAAGGCACATATTGTAGTGTAAAGTGCTTTGAGTATCTTGATAAGATAGAAAGGTGCTATATAAGTACAGTCCATTTATCATTCATTGCTTTGGTGCTGTGAGGGATAGTTTTGGCATGGTTTGGGTCCACATTTGCTCAATAAAGGAAATCACTGAAAATCAATTAAAAGTAGTCAACTATTGTACTGTGATGTTAAGCTTATTTTTCTTTTATACGAGTGCTCAATATAACCACTTCTGAAATGGTTGATGAATTTAAAAAAATTGTAGTCCATTATAGCCTTTGCATGATGTGCTTCTGTTGATGTCTTCAGGCCAAGACCTTCAAACATGTTTTTAAAAAAACTAAAGTTACTCCAAAGGACCCAACATTTTTCAGTCAGGTCATCTGGACAGTTTTTTTGTTTTTTTTTTTGTGCTGAAACGTTTCGCCTTCGATCCGGAAGGCTTCATCAGTCAAGGAAACGCACAAAAAATTATTCTTCCCCCAACACCTTACTCCAAAGTGTAACAAACCAGTTCTGCTTGTGATAAGATGGTCTCTTTGGTACGCCCCTCCTCCATTGCCGGCCCTCTTCCTTGTTGACAGATGACCTGACTGAAAAATGTTGGATTTTATACCTGGATTATTGAGCATGGACTTTGTTGTTACTCCAAAGGAGTTCCAGATTCACGCAGAATAAATATCAAGACACACAGAAGCTGTTTTGGATGTTTATGGTAGCAAATATTCTTCCAAAGAACTGGTCATTTTTCCCCTTAACCAAAGAATCAATAAAACAACATTATCTTCATCCATCCATTATCTTTTACCCGCTTCTTCCATTTTGGGTCACGGGGGTCGCCGGTGCCCATGTCCAGCAATCACTGTGCGAGGGGCGGGGTACACCCTGGACGGGGTCGCAAGTCCATTACAGGGCTAATCTTCAATGATTCTTAAAATATTGCAGTCACTTATGTTTAAGATTAGAATTTAGTTCAGTTCATTTATATAGTGCCAAGTCACAACACAAGTTATCTCAGGGTACAGAACAGAAACATTTGCATACATTATAGATGCCAATTAGTAAAGTTATTTATCTAAGGAAGGACAGAAGCCAACATAACAAATTTGAATTTTCTCAAGTCAGAGATATAATGTAATTTAAAGTCAAACTTTGTCACCTCTCCTGACTCTTCCAGCTCTCTGCAGTAAACTGCCTCTAAATCCTCATCTAAATGCATTCCTTTCCCTCAGCCCTTACCTCTCAACTGGTCCTGTGTCATTTCTTGGTGTGCTCCAGTTAAAGCTGGCACTTGTCGGTCCCGGTCGTCCCAGGAGGTTTAAACAAAGTTGGTCTTCTGGAGGTGGTGCACCTAGAGTTTGGTATGAAGCTGATGCACTTATTGTCTCACCAGCTACATTAGCTGTTAAAACCCAGTAAGAGTAGTTGGTAAAAGGAAACAGTTTGTGGTCCTCAAATGATTCAGGGCCTTGAAGGAGGAAAAAAATAATTTATGTTGGAGTGATATAAAACAGAATGATACATGTGAAACAAATAACACATTTTTGAAAAACAGAGTATTAAAAACTTGGAAAAAAGTTGGAATACAAACCGAATGGATAGTGACTATGGATAGTATGCACTGACTGTCCATCTCTGATGAGCGTGTAGTTGAGTTTATACGAGTTGGGGGAATCAGGTGGATTCCAAGAGAGATAGATGGAGGAGTAACTAAGAGCAGAAGCTAATGGTGCAGGCTGCTGGGATGGTGCTGCACAAACAGATAAACAACCAAAAAACGAATAAAACTAACTTTTGCAGTAACTGAATTAAATCCAAGTGTACTTTATTAATCCAAAAGATAAACTGTATTGTAAATACAGGTACATAATATACATAGATATTAACAAAAATGTTTTTCACTCAAATGTTTTTGTGGACCTGGAGAAGGCTTATGACCATGTTCCACGAGCATTCTGTGGGGGGTGCTGCAGGAGTGTAGGGCACCTGGGTTGCTTTTAAGAGCCATCCAGTCCCTGTATAACCAATGCAGGAGCTGTGTCCACATACTGGGCACAAAGGTGAGCTCATTCCCAGTGCAGGTTGGACTCCGCCAGGGCTGTCCCTTGTCTTCGATCCTGTTTGTGGTGGTCATGGACAGGATTTCGAGGCACAGTCGTGGAGAGGAGACCAAGACCTTCCATTTGCACTGGGGGAGTTCACAGCCAATTGTGACTGTGAAGCAGCTGAAGTGAGAGTCAGTTCCTCTAAATCTGAGGCCATGGTTCTCAGCCAGAAATGGGTGGAATGCCCTCTCCAAGTTGAGGTGGGGGAGGACTTTGCCTCTGGTGGAGTAGTTTAAGTATCCAAGCATCTTGTTCACAATTGATGGTAGGATGGAGCAAGAGATCAACTGATTGGGGTCTTGTTCTCAGTAATGAGGACATTGTTGTGGGCAGTCATGGTGAAGAAAGAACTAAGTCTAAGGGCAAAGCTCTGGATTTACTGGTCTGTCTACGTTCCAACCTTCTATGGTCATGAGGTTTGGATCATGACCAAAAGAGCGAGATCCTGGATACAAGCGGCCAAAATGAGCTTTCTTCGTAGGGTGGCCAGGTTCAGCCTTAAAAATAGGGTGAGGAGCTCCATCATCTGGAGGGAGCTCCGAGTAGAGCCGCTGCTCCTCTGCATCGAAAGGTGTCCATTGAAGTGGTTTGGGCATCTGATTAGGACACCTCCTGGACACCTCCCTTTAGAGGTTTTCAGGCACATCCCACTGTTAAGAGGCCCTGGGGAACACCCAGAAGTCGTTGGAGGGATGGTGTATCTTCTCTGGCCTGGGAACACCTCAGGGTCCCCCAAAACAAGCTGGAAAGTGTCCCTGGGGAAAGGGATTTATGGGTTTCTCTCCTGGACCTGTTGCCTGCATGACTCGACTATGGATAAGCAATAGAAGATGGATTGTGTGTGTATATATATATATATATATATATATATATATATATATATATATATATATACACACACTCTTCCCTGTCCAGGTCCAGATGACCTGATCGATCATTATTGGATTTTGTACCTGGATGATTGAGCATGAACTATGATGTCTTGAACCACTTTGGCTGTGGCTGCCTGCCTGGGAGGAATCGACGGGGGACAGGACAGCCCCCAGAAACCATCTTATCACCAGCAAACTGAGTGGTCCACTAAAGGAGTGTACTGCTTAGTGGGGAAAACAGTTTACTTGGGACTCCTCAGACTGATGAAGCCCTCTGGATGGAGGGCAA